GGGCCATCGGGCACCCCTTGGGGCTGGCCCATCCTGGGGGGCGGGGCCGGGGTGAGAGCCTCCTAGGCCTGCGGCATCTCCTGTGCCTGGGGTGGTTGGCCGAAGGGACCTGGGTGAGGAGGAAGGGGACCCCCGTCCCAACAGCCTGATGGGTGAGGCTGGGGGCACTCAGGCGGGGCGGCCCCTTCCAGCCTCCCAGGTCTTCAATCCTCAGGGTAGCCACAAAAAAGGGAGGCATCGCCCATACTTTTACAGACCTGGAAACTGAGGCCCAGAGCCTGCTTCGTGGTGTGTCTGTTCGCAGCCAGGACCCGGTGGAGCCGGGGTCTCTCCCTGAGTCTTTGGACCCCTTCATGCCCTCTGGCTGCCCCTTGGGGACCCCCAGAGGCATCTCGGAACCCAGGGCCCAGTGGGGAGAGCGACAGGGCCAGGCTCTGAGCGCTGAGGCCCTAGCACTGTCCCTGCCTCGCACGCCCACGTCTGCCGCACCCACTACGGTGGAGGAGGCTGCCCGTCCCCTCGGATTCCCATGGGCTGGGCCAGGCTCCGAGGCTGTCGGCGGAGACCTGGGCCTCGGCAAGTGTGGGGCAGCCACCGAGTGAGGAGAAGCCTCCTGGGCCTGGCTTTGCCTCCCATTCCCATTCATCAGCGTCCCCACGGCCAAGCCGCAGAGGCGAGAAGGCCTGGGAGGACTTCCCACGCGCAGGGGCCCTCTGAGGGTGTCTGGCCGACCCTGGCGCACGGCCTGCAGCCCCCCACTCACCGGCGCTGAGCAGGGCACCCCCGCAGGAGAGAAGCAGCAGCAGCCGGGGCCCGAGCATGGCGCGGAGAGGACAGCGGCCACCGCGGGGCACTGGGCAGGCTGCCGCACCTGTGCGGCCCGAGTGGCCTCCCCCGACGCCTTATATAGGGACCAGGGGCCCTGCCCCGCCCCACCTGCTTGTGCCCCACACTCCCGTCCGGTAATTGCCATGGCCAGCCAGTCCAGTGGTGGCCAAACAGGATCTGGGGCGCTGCTTTATCAGGACCTGGCCTTTGGAAAATTCTTCAGCGGGCAGCGGCCCCGTTGTCACTCACCTCTGAGCAGGGGGCTGGCACACACCCTCTGGGGCCCTGCACACATGTCCGGTGCTTACTCGAGGCGAGGGGTAAACCTCGATTGCCAGGGGTCTCCCTGGGGGTCAGTCCAGGGAGTCAGTGTGGGCACCTGGGGACCGAGAGGGGGCTTGTCCAGGACATGTGGGGGGAGACGCCTGGGCACCCCCTTTGGGTGCTACAGAGAGCTTCTTGGGGGCACTTCATCCTCACCTGGACCCAGGACCCCTACAAGGTGCCACAGCACACTGGGCCCCACCCGCACCCTGGGAGGAACAACTGCCCAGTGGCAGGGACTCTCCAGAGGGCAAAAGCCAGTCCAGACTCTGCCCCTCGGGGTGGGGTCCAGGCTGGGGGGCTCTCATGCACGGGTCATTGGCCTTCGGGCTCAGATGAATGCCTCCCTGGAGGCCTGAGGAGCTTGTGGGGCTGACACCACATCCCTGGGGTGCAGGGCCTTGGCTGGCCAGCTCGTTGCTGGAGACCCCCTTCTCAGCTGGCCGCCTGGGACTTTGGGTCATGGGAGGGGCAGAGTGGTCCTGCTGGACCCCGGGGCCCCCTAATTAACGGTTGTCTGAACCCACATGGCTCTGAGCTGCTTGCTTCAGGCACAGCAAGAGTGAGGCAGCCTTGGGGGGGCATCTCCTGTGCCAGTCTCAGGGTGCCCGGCCCACTCAGGCAGAGAAGCAGGGGCTGTGCCCACACCCCCCTGGGAGAAGGGCAGAAGGACATGGCTCCTGGGGGAGGCACCCTGGGGAGCAGGAGGCCGGTGAGGCCGGTGGGCACTTGTCCACGGGCAGCTCACACGCCCGCAATGCAAGGGGTCAGGGCGAGGGTCAGGGTCAGCGTTAGAGTGAGGCGAGGGTCGGGGCACAGGTGTTTCGAATTTTCCACGGGACTGTCTCGCAGTCAGGGAGCAGGGTGGGTCCGACCTCTCCAGGGCATCCTGGCCCTGAGTAGGAGCCCGGGGGCCCTGGGACAGGGGGCTTCCGCCTTTTTTTTTTTTTTTTAAACCTGCGGCATCTCCTGTGCCTGGGGTGGTTGGCCGAAGGGACCTGGGTGAGGAGGAAGGGGACCCCCGTCCCAACAGCCTGATGGGTGAGGCTGGGGGCACTCAGGCGGGGCGGCCCCTTCCAGCCTCCCAGGTCTTCAATCCTCAGGGTAGCCACAAAAAAGGGAGGCATCGCCCATACTTTTACAGACCTGGAAACTGAGGCCCAGAGCCTGCTTCGTGGTGTGTCTGTTCGCAGCCAGGACCCGGTGGAGCCGGGGTCTCTCCCTGAGTCTTTGGACCCCTTCATGCCCTCTGGCTGCCCCTTGGGGACCCCCAGAGGCATCTCGGAACCCAGGGCCCAGTGGGGAGAGCGACAGGGCCAGGCTCTGAGCGCTGAGGCCCTAGCACTGTCCCTGCCTCGCACGCCCACGTCTGCCGCACCCACTACGGTGGAGGAGGCTGCCCGTCCCCTCGGATTCCCATGGGCTGGGCCAGGCTCCGAGGCTGTCGGCGGAGACCTGGGCCTCGGCAAGTGTGGGGCAGCCACCGAGTGAGGAGAAGCCTCCTGGGCCTGGCTTTGCCTCCCATTCCCATTCATCAGCGTCCCCACGGCCAAGCCGCAGAGGCGAGAAGGCCTGGGAGGACTTCCCACGCGCAGGGGCCCTCTGAGGGTGTCTGGCCGACCCTGGCGCACGGCCTGCAGCCCCCCACTCACCGGCGCTGAGCAGGGCACCCCCGCAGGAGAGAAGCAGCAGCAGCCGGGGCCCGAGCATGGCGCGGAGAGGACAGCGGCCACCGCGGGGCACTGGGCAGGCTGCCGCACCTGTGCGGCCCGAGTGGCCTCCCCCGACGCCTTATATAGGGACCAGGGGCCCTGCCCCGCCCCACCTGCTTGTGCCCCACACTCCCGTCCGGTAATTGCCATGGCCAGCCAGTCCAGTGGTGGCCAAACAGGATCTGGGGCGCTGCTTTATCAGGACCTGGCCTTTGGAAAATTCTTCAGCGGGCAGCGGCCCCGTTGTCACTCACCTCTGAGCAGGGGGCTGGCACACACCCTCTGGGGCCCTGCACACATGTCCGGTGCTTACTCGAGGCGAGGGGTAAACCTCGATTGCCAGGGGTCTCCCTGGGGGTCAGTCCAGGGAGTCAGTGTGGGCACCTGGGGACCGAGAGGGGGCTTGTCCAGGACATGTGGGGGGAGACGCCTGGGCACCCCCTTTGGGTGCTACAGAGAGCTTCTTGGGGGCACTTCATCCTCACCTGGACCCAGGACCCCTACAAGGTGCCACAGCACACTGGGCCCCACCCGCACCCTGGGAGGAACAACTGCCCAGTGGCAGGGACTCTCCAGAGGGCAAAAGCCAGTCCAGACTCTGCCCCTCGGGGTGGGGTCCAGGCTGGGGGGCTCTCATGCACGGGTCATTGGCCTTCGGGCTCAGATGAATGCCTCCCTGGAGGCCTGAGGAGCTTGTGGGGCTGACACCACATCCCTGGGGTGCAGGGCCTTGGCTGGCCAGCTCGTTGCTGGAGACCCCCTTCTCAGCTGGCCGCCTGGGACTTTGGGTCATGGGAGGGGCAGAGTGGTCCTGCTGGACCCCGGGGCCCCCTAATTAACGGTTGTCTGAACCCACATGGCTCTGAGCTGCTTGCTTCAGGCACAGCAAGAGTGAGGCAGCCTTGGGGGGGCATCTCCTGTGCCAGTCTCAGGGTGCCCGGCCCACTCAGGCAGAGAAGCAGGGGCTGTGCCCACACCCCCCTGGGAGAAGGGCAGAAGGACATGGCTCCTGGGGGAGGCACCCTGGGGAGCAGGAGGCCGGTGAGGCCGGTGGGCACTTGTCCACGGGCAGCTCACACGCCCGCAATGCAAGGGGTCAGGGCGAGGGTCAGGGTCAGCGTTAGAGTGAGGCGAGGGTCGGGGCACAGGTGTTTCGAATTTTCCACGGGACTGTCTCGCAGTCAGGGAGCAGGGTGGGTCCGACCTCTCCAGGGCATCCTGGCCCTGAGTAGGAGCCCGGGGGCCCTGGGACAGGGGGCTTCCGCCTTTTTTTTTTTTTTTTTTAACATCTTTTTTGGGGTATAATTGCTTTACAATGGTGTGTTAGTTTCTGCTTTATAACAGAGTGAATCAGTTATACATATACCTATGTTCCCATATCTCTTCCCTCTTTGTCTCCCTCCCTCCCACCCTCCCTATCCCACCCCTCCAGATAGCCACAAAGAACCGAGCTGGTTTCCCTGTGCCATGCGGCTGCTTCCCACTGGCTATCTACCTTACGTTTGTTAGTATATATATGTCCATGTCTCTCTCTTGCCCTATCACAGCTCCCCCTTCCCCCTCCCCATATCCTCAAGTCAGTTGTTTTAAAATTACAGATTCTGTTTTGCTTTTAGTGATCAGTATGTTCAAGTTATCTATTTCTTCTTGATTCAGTTTTTTTTTTTTTAACATCTTTATTGGGGTATAATTGCTTTACAATGGTGTGTTAGTTTCTGCTTTATAACAGAGTGAGTCAGTTATACATATATATATGTTCCCATATCTCTTCCCTCTTTGTCTCCCTCCCTCCCACCCTCCCTATCCCACCCCTCCAGACAGCCACAAAGAACCGAGCCGGTTTCCCTGTGCCATGCGGCTGCTTCCCACTGGCTATCTACCTTACGTTTGTTAGTATATATATGTCCATGTCTCTCTCTCGCCCTATCACAGCTCACCCTTCCCCCTCCCCATATCCTCAAGTCTGTTCTCCAGTAGGTCTGTGTCTTTATTCCTGTTTTACCCCTAGGTTCTTCATAACATTTTTTTTTCTTAAATTCCATATATATGTGTCAGCATATGGTATTTGTTTTTCTCTTTCTGACTTCACTCTGTATGACAGACTCTAGGTCTATCCACCTCATTACAAATAGCTCAATTTCGTTTCTTTTTATGGCTGAGTAACATTCCATTGTATACATGTGCCACATCTTCGGCTTCCGCCTTCTTGAGGCGGTTCTGCCCCACATGGACCTGGGCTCCTTCCACAGAGACTCTGTCTGGGGCCTCCCCATACCTCACAGACCACCCAGCTCTGTGGGGCCACCCCCTCCCAGCTCACAGATGCAGAAGATGCTGTGTGTTTACCTTAAATAAATGTTAGTTTTAATAGAAAGTTGTTTTGACAGGAAACCGCTCTCGGCGAGCTGCTGGCCTGCAGGTGCCTCAGCCCTGGGGGGCGGGCAGGCAGGTGGGATGTTCTGGGGACGCTGTTCTCTGTCATTTCTCCATGATGCTCTTGGCACCCCGTTCGGAGAACCCCAGGCCTAGGAATGCTCCCGGCCCAGGCAGGGCTGGGCAAAGGGGGTCCCAGGGAGGCCCCCCTGGCTGCCCCTACCCCGGACCCTCCCAGCCGGGGTCTCTGCAGGAGGGATGGTGCTGAAAGGAGCCTGTGGTCTGGGCATGAGTGGGCTCACATGGCCGTCTGCCTGGGCGTTGCCGAGGGGCCTCCGTGGGGGCTCCCCCTGCCCTCGGGGAGCTCCTGCTCACAGCGGGACTCGTGCAGCTCCAGACGAAGGGCCAGGGAACGCTGGTGGGTGGGGGCCTCAGCCCTGGCCAGGGCCCCGGGAGGGTGAGCACACTGTGGGGCTGCAGGGAGATGGGCCCTCGGGCCTTGGGACAAGCAGGGAAGCAGGTGCTCCGACAGGCCACCCAGGCCGTCTCCCACCAGACACAGCCATCCCCGGGGTCTGGATGCA